TTTGAAGTCAAGTTGGAGCTAGGATTCTCAGAACTTCGCTCAGACTAATAGTAGTCTTCTGACCCTTCCACTACCATATACATATGTATGGATCTCGACTCAAAACTACAGAATTCACTGCTGCTCTGAACTATTTTTCATCCTTTAAAAGCTCTTTAGTCTGCTAAAACTTTGGTCTTCTAAAAGGCTTCCAGAAAATGTTACTTCTTAATCAATGGCTTACTGAAAGTGAAAGGAGACCTATGGCTAGGATTGGACTGGCTTCTGAAAGGCCACCCACAGTGGCTGCAGTATTCCCGATGATGGAAGGCAAAATGATGGGGTTAAGCCACAGGGATTGAGTGCTTGGCCCAACGGGGGAGAGAATTATGACAGGCTTTCATATTGCCATTTGTTGGAAAACTCCTGGAATTACGTTTTATGTAGTTTTCTATACCCCTCAGGTTCAGGGCTCGACCTGGTCTGAGGCAATTGATTTTGTCAGAAAATATGCGAAAATTGAGCTAATTTTCAGTTCAATTTGGGTATGAGCTAGACCGAGCCCATACCGTAGTCCACAGAATCGTAGAAGCTTCATAAAAAGGTCTTATTCATGCTTTGCAGACGGATTCCGTAGATCCTGCTATCCGAGCTTTCGAAGAGCACCGACGGGAGTTCATCGAACTGATGAGGGAGATCCGAAAAAAGAACCCGCATATAACCCCCACGGAATTGCAAAAGCAAGCTGAATACGAGATGATAACGAGGTCTAAAAATTGGATTATTTCGCATAAAAACTTTTATTGAAAAATGAAATCATTCAGAGGCCCAAAATCACGAGCATTCTACCGAGTGCAGGCCACTAGACGTCTTATAGGCGGTGGAGACATCGTAAAGAAACGAATCGACAAAGAACATAATAAAGCCATCGACATGGTACGACTTTACCTCATATCTGCTGTTGCACGAACTAATTTTTCTTTTGCATTTGAATTAATAACCCATTCCTCATGAGTTCGTCCCACTGGGATTCTAATAAGGACCAAGACCCCTATAATGACCTACTGAAGAAAATGAGGACCCATAACCTAGTAAAAAAAAGACTCCTCTTGCATGCTTTAGGGTAATTTATGAGCTTAAATGCACGGTTTGTAGGGCCTTCTAGAAAAGAGGCCTTCCGAGGAGTTAGAG